ATAAGGAAAAAAGCCCTCCAAACCAACAAACCGCAAACTGGAGACAAAAAGGTAAGTTTCAGTGGTTACAGTTCCTGCCAGAAGCGGTAGCAACACACAGGACACATGTTTTACGGACTAGAAGAGGCTTTGAAGGAAACATGAAAAAAAAAGGGGGGGGGGGAAGGGAAATAAATAGAAAGAAAAAAGACCTTATTTGATTTCTAAGTCCCCTAAGCAGTAACCACATCCTCTCCCTCTCCCAGCTGCTTTTCTTTAACCACCCAGCCAATGCTGCTCATATGAGCAGTGCTCACATTGAGAGTGAGAACTTGTCACTTGGCCATGATGAGGAAACACTTCCTCCTGACCTTTCTCTTTGTGTGTTTTCATAATTTATGGCTGCAAAGTTTGTTCAGCTGTTAGGCTGGGGTCAGTGTATTACCTTCTAGTCCAGTTATGTCTTAAATTTGGCAGAACAAGGACAGACCTGATGTATGTAAGAAACCAGGACAGGGAACGTTGCCCTCCTCATCCACCCACACAAGTGATTTTGAGTCCTTAAAGCTGAGTTGTGTGCTGGCCTTGACAGGTGCAGGTGTTGTGAGTGATGGCAAATACTTTGAAGATGAGGGTCTGCCCCTGGGAAGGGAGGGTGTGCTGGCAGCAGCATCCTCTGGGCAGCCTCTGCTCACCCTACAAGCCTAGCATCCTCCCTGGGAGAAACACTGCTAGTGCTGGGGTTTGTATTTTGGGGACTGTCAGAGGTCTTATCCCAGGTATGAGAGAGAGACAGCAGCTGTAGATCTTGCACAAAAAATCCCATAAGGATAGGACCTTCCTTCCCTGGATTGAAACTGGGGATTGCTCTAGTCAGCAGAAGAAACCAGTGCCCCTTTGTCACCTGGAATGGGTCTTCACCAGGTGGTGTTATTTTGCAGCTGAATTGGCTAAAATTCCTTCCTTTGCTCTGCTGAGAACTGAGTTGGCTACCCTACTGCAGCTAACTTTTTAAAGGAGTTGCACAAATGCTTAGTAATGCAACCAGATAAATCATCTGAAAGGCAACAAAAACTGATATATTTATTTGCAGAACTGTATAGGAACTTCACATCTTAGAGCATCTTTTAGAGAAAAAATATAACATCCCCCCCCTCCTTTTGTTCTTTCTACTTAGCTTATTTTGCTTTCTTGCAAATATTTATTTTTACCTCTTTGTAATTTTCCCTTTACCCTTCTTTGTTATAATGCTTGGTCTGATTCTCTTCTTAAATAATAGTTTTAAAACACAACTAAAAGATATTTTCTGAATTGTCAAGGAATGGACAAGATTGAGATAAATGATCCAGAAATCATATTAAAAAAAGCTAAGTACTTTCCAAGGCTGCACCCTTGCAAGTCAGTTTTTAAGTGTCAGTTTCAGAATCTGCTGTGTATTAGATTGCCTGCATTTGGGGAGGGGAGGACTGCTGTTGTTCGGAGGGAATCTTTTGGGTAATATATGGGGAAAACCCACCACAACAAATCTTTTTCCCTACCAAGATGAGAAGGAGGGGGTTACACACATATCACAGAAGGAGCTTACTGCTTGTATGAGACAAAGGAGAACCAGCTGGGATGTTGGAGCTTGGAGGGTGCAAGTGGCAGATATAATTGATGTGGCATTGCAGAAAGCCAAATGCCTGCAAGAACAATGGCTTGTGCCTCGGTCGATGTCAGAAAGTTGCATCAGTGTTAGCACTAGTGGGAAATATGTAGCTTATTTCTTTTGTCAGGGTGGAATCAAAACCTACAGAAGTCTGGGCTTGTAATCCAGCGAAAATTGTATTTTTTTAGGGTAGTGGGGCACAGCTGACAGAATGAAAGCTTAGCAGTGTCCTCACAGGTTATCCAAGTATTTGACAGAAAAGTGGCTGCCATGCCCTCTGTACAGGGTAACCTTTGTCTCAGATGTGCATTTGTTAAACAGTAATTGTGGATGAAACAAAAACAAACCTCTGCATTCTCCTCTCTCTATCTATTGGTTCTGTTACATGTCCAAACAGGTAAAACAGTGCTTAGCAAGCTGGTTGCACTTTGATTTTGCTGCACTTACCCAGGATCTGAGAAAACACGTAACAGTTTTTTTTGCAAGGGTCAGTTGCATATTTCTGAGAATACTGCTTTGGTTTTAAAATGCAGCCTTTCCAAGTAGGTCAAGCAAAAATATCTTTGATGGAGCAAATCACTCGCAGATATTTTTGTGACTGGAATTTATTCATTGCAATTTAAGGTTTTGAATAAATTGTGTGGGTTACTAGTAAAATACTAGTTAAAAAATAAAAATGTGATCAAGCTTCACAAATTAATAACTTCCTGAAAACTTTTGCTTCTGACTCCCTTTTTTTTTTTTAATGTAACAAGTTCCTCTTTGATATTTGTAATAAATCCCAGAAAACCCCATTAATATTTAGCCCTGCTGAATAATCTTCCCACATAAGAGGGGAATTTTTCTTGTGGTTTTTTTAACAGATTCTCAGTCTGTTTTATTTAAACACCTCTGCAAGTTTTTCTTTTAAGTCTGAAGATTTTTCATGAGCTTGCAGGTGGTTTAGGCTTTTAGGTTTTTTTCTGTTCTAAGATGAAAAAGACTCTAGGATACTCTTTAACTAGTTTTCTTGTAACTAAGAAGAGGTTTGTGTGAGAAATAAAGAACATCAAAAGCAAACAGAAGCAGAGCAGGACAATCTCCTCCCTTGCTCAGCTGGCGATGCTGTGCCTGATGCACCCCAGGACAGAGCCGGCCCTCCTGGCTGCCAGGGCACTGCTGATTTATGTTCGACTTGTCATTGATCAGGACCCTGAGGTCCCTTTTCACTCCACTGCTCTCCAGTCTCTCATTCTGCAGTCTGTACAACCAGGGTTGCACTGTCCCAGGTGGAGAATCTGGCTCTTGTTTTTGTCAAAATTCACACTATTGGTGATGGCCAAGCTCTCAGATTAGTTGAAGTCTCTTTGCAGGGCCTCTCTGTCTTCAAGTATCACTGTCAAACTTACTGTACTTTTGAATGCTATGTCCAAGTAATTTATGAAGCTGTTGAAGAGCACAGGGCTAAGGATGGAGCCCTGTGGAACCCCACAAGTGACAGGTCACACCAGTCTGATGTCCCTCCATTCACTGCAACCCTTTGTGCCTGACCCTTGAGCCAGCTGCTCACCCACCACATGATGTGTTTATCCAGCTGTGGGCTGCACATTTCTCCAGAAGGATCCTGAGAGAGACAGCACTGAAAGCTTTACTGAAAACCAAAAATATTAGGTCAACTGGCTTCCCTTGAACTAGGTGGGTTAAATTATCATAAAAGCAAATTGAGCTGTTAAGTAGGACTTCCCTCTCATGAAGCCATGCTGGCTGTGACTGATGACTGGATTATCTTTCATGTGTTTTTCAATAACTACCAGAATTATTTTCTCTATTATTTTACCAGCCACTGAAGTGAGATGCTCTCCTTATGTTGAAGCTTTTCTGGCAGTTTTACTCCTGTCACCAGAGATTTTTAAAATTGGTCTTTTTTGTGATCACTGTGATCAAGAGAGTCAGCAATCACCACTTCATCCATGAGACCTTCTCTATTAACAAGCAGCAAATCAAGGAGGACAGCTTTCCTGTTTGTCTCCCTTAGCACCTGTACCATGAAGTTATCATGTGTTTTAGAAATCTTACCATGTGTTTTAGAAATCTTATGGTCTTCTTTGTACCAGCTGTGTGCTGCTCTGACTTAACCTTTGACAAGTTGGAGTCCTTCATTAGGACAAGGGCCATTGATTTAGAGGCAGCCTTTAGCTTCTTGAAGAGTAATTCATTGGTATTGCTGTCTTGGCTGGGTGGCCTGTAGTAAACTCCCAGTTTACTGTCCTGCTTGGTGTCTGTGGGTGTGCGCTCACATTTTTGTGCAACCTGGAGATTTAACTCACTTTCAGTAACACTTAAGATATGCTTCTCAGCACAAAAATTATTATTTATACAGTTCCTTTTGAAAGGAAAAGTCCTGGCAAAAGTAGACAAACTTTGATCAATCTGTGAACTGTTGCATGTTTTTGGAAGGAGCCATATAAAAATAATGTTTACAGAGTTAGTGTCAGTGTTTCTGTATGTTCTTTATTTTATGTTGTATAAGTTATGTGGAGTTGTTTTTCTTTTTTGTTTATATTTTTATTTTTAGTTTTCTAAAAGACTGAATCAGTTTCCTTTTTGAAACAATGGTGCCAGGAAGAAGAGTAATCCCTATAATTTATAACCTGGACCTTAATCCTCTTGGAAACTACAAAACAGAGCAGCAAGAGTCTATTATGCCTCAACTCTTGTAAGTCCTTAGATGCCCTTCTTGGAGCTTCATTTTTACAGCAAATTAAAGTGAACTGCTCATACAGCAGGCTACAGTCTTCAAAGAATGATCATGTAAGAATGCAATTTAGACTTTTCCCAGGACCTCTGCCATCCCCCCCCAGCACTTAGAAGCGGACCAGGCTTCAGGGTGACATCACTTTGATGCCTCCCACGTGAAGGAGTAGGGGAAGAGAGGTTAGGGGATTTCTGTGCTCACTGATCTGTGCAAGTATCCTGTCCTGCTTGGCTGGTCTTCCTATCATACCCCTCCTCTGCTGTTTTATTTAAATTTTACTCCTTCTTCAGCGAGAAAGTGCCATGCAGCTGGAGCAGATCATGTCTATGGTCTTACACACTTGCCCAGCACTGTGGTCAACTCCTGCATTCTGCTACATGATTTTGGTTTGTTACAAGATGAGGATTGCTCTGGTTCCTTTGCAGATGCCTTTGAGCCACAGCCATTTGCAGAGCTGTGAGCCAGTAACTTTAACAGAAACAGCAGGAAGATGTTGCTGGGTTAAACAAAATCGATAGTACACACTGCGTAAAGACAGAGTGACATTTGCAGAGCCTGATTGAGTTCAAGCAGTGGATCCACACTTCTGTAAACACTGGACTCAGTCAAGTGGGTTTTTCTCTGCTGAACTGTACTTACATATAGCACTTCTTGTGTCCCTCACTCCCAAATGCCATTCAGAAGGACTGGAGTGTTGGCAGCTTGTTCCAGAATTGTATTGGCTGTGCTTAGCAGGTGCCCATGAACAGCTCACTCCCATGTCTGATCAACATGACTCCAGGCTGCTGATGTCTGTTAAAGAAAGCAGCTGCATTAAGAGATGTACAAATATCTTTCAAAGTTTAGAATAGTGTCAGAGATGACTTGTCCTTTTTATAAATGAGCTGAAAAAGTATTTTCTGCTAAGGTTCTGATTGCAGCCTTTTGCTTCATAATCCGCGGGGCTGTGAAATGCTAGCTGGCATTTTGCCACGATCATGAAATGTGACTTGTCCTTATTAATTCAGTGTTTGTGGACAAGAAAGTAGGATTTCTTGGATTCACAGCTCACCGGAAGAAAAAGGGACTTTGCTCTGAAAATTGAAAGGAGTCTTGGTCTTTTGGGAGCTGCCTTTAGGGTGTTGTATATTTGCAGATGTACATGTAAATCTAGGAGGAATTTCCCTTCTCTGTAGTTAGTAGGATAGTAGATTTTTCAATGACCTGCATGAATAAACCCTCAAAGGTGTTTGTTATCAAAAAAAGTTCCACTGATCAGCAGCTTCAAAGACAAGAAATTCAAAGATTGTGACTGGCTCTGTTCTTGAATGCATTTGCTGAAAGTTTGAAGTATAATGCAATTCCATCTACTATATTGTCATATTTAATTCCAGGGGCTAACTCACTACCTTTAATCAGACAGAGTCAAATCTTTCTCTTTCAAGAAGTGCATTTATGTTGCTGGGTCCTTGGCTTTTGTGCATCAAAGAACACCTGTAGCAGAGGGGAAGGGACCTAGTCTGCTTCTTTTTCCCTTCAGAAGAAGACAGTAAAAGTTGAACAAATCTAAATCAAGTGTGCTTGGCATTTCTGAGGACTGAGCCCCAAGTGTTTATTCTAATGGGTGCATTCTACCACTGTAATACTTTCCATTACTAATTAAATAATGCAGTATCAGTAAATATGTGGCTAATACCATCCAAGATTTTAAATTGCAAATCTTGTCACAGTTTGTTATAGACTTTTTCTTAAAGAGTTTGACTGATTCCTCCACCTTATACTTAAAGATAAAATTGGTGCTGTCAGACTTTGAGCGTAACACAATCCTGGAGCAAGTCAGAAGTTAGGTTACATCCAGCACCTTAACTTTTTATTTGGTGGTTTTTTTTTTTTTTTTTAAGGCTGTGAAAAAGAAAGGAACAAGTGCAAGAGGAAGCCGAATTTTTTAGAGCAGGGAGAGAAAACTTAACCCACGTTCAAGTTAATACTTCAAAAGGCTAAAGTGCTATCCAAATGAAGAAATGAAAAGAATCATAAGCCCTGGCAAGTTCAGTGTCTAAATACAATTATCTGTCAAAAATAGAGTTTGAGAAACAGTTAACAGACATAATAAATCTCTCTTCAAATGCATCAAGTACTGGAGCCATTCCAGAGAGTTTGCAGGGCCAAATAGAAGATACAGGTATCAAAGAAGGAGTTAGGTAAGACAAATCTATTGCGGAACAAGTAAACAAAGCCTTCGGAGTAGAAAAAGCCAGGGATATTCCTGTCTTGGATCTTTTCTTTGTGACAGGCTAATCAGATGACTATCCCAAAATTAAAATTATGGAGCAGTAAATGAACACTAGAAGCAGATGGCATTGACTTAAGAGGTTTTTAGGTATTCAGAGGTGAAACATCTCAGTGACTTCCACTGGTGTGTAACCACTTGCTTTGCACTGTTTTCATAGCTGGTAAATGTGACACCAGACTAAAAACTCCATCATTTCAGTTGAGTTCTCAGGGAGGTAGGGGCATGTAAAAACAAAGAGCATAGTAGAATGACTGGTAGAAATGGCAAGACAGGAATGGAAAGAGTGAACACACACAAATACGATGTGTTTGCAAAGAGTTAATACTAACTTGTGCAAAGGGAAGTCCTACCTCAATAACCTATGTGCTCTCTGAAGTGATTTGCCAAAACATGTTAGCTATGAGAGACCTTTTGATACAAACTACCCAGACTTCTGAAAGGCTTTTGGCAAAATTCCTTCAGCAAGGTCTCTGAAATGCACTAGATAAACAGTCTAGATGTACAAGGGAAAGCACAGATGAAAAATAAGCTGAAGGGTAGTAACCACGCTGGGGAGGCAGAGAATGGTGAGATTTCCTGCTGGGGCAGGGATAGTAATGGAACTCCATGATGAGTTTGTGCTAGGATCTGGGATGTCCATGTTCCATGGTACTCATAACTATCCTTAATACAATAATGACCACAAGTGGGAGGAGGATATTCTGCTACATGAAATTCTGACCTAGCATAGCACTGATACTCCTGTGTTAAGGTAGGCTCTTCTCCATTGCCTGTCAAGAGGGCTGTAGCTGCTGACATAGGCGCCTAATTAGAGGTCTATAAGACAGATGTTATGAACTTCCACTAAGCTTCTCAATATGAGCTTTTGAATGTTGGGTGCCTTAGAGGTGAACAGTGGGTGTTCATGAGCCTTAAGGAGGCTCCTTGGCTCTCCGTGTAAATGTTTTCTTAGAATGAGCGGTGCAACTGTCCCTTCATCTGTGGATCACTAATAGACATATCTAAAGAGATGCTCTCTCTACAGGTTCCTCATGCAGTGCATTTCACACCATTTGGTCTGAAGTCAGGTGGAATAATTTTAGGCTACTCTATATGACATGTACAGATTGAAAGTTTTACATTAATTGATAATGAAGAATGTTAGGCAGCTCTGAGCTTTGTTCCTTTAATACTGAAGACTGATGCATGAGGACATGTTATCAATCAGAGTGCTTTATGGTGGGGACTTTGGTAGCTAAGGTTCTGGTTTTGTGCCAAGGAATCTGCTTGACTCATTTCATATGTCTGCAGTGTCAATTTGCTGTGCTCTTTGTTTGACTCAGTTTTTTGTTCTACTCTTAATCTTTGCTGGTGGGATATTTGTTCTCCAGATCCCTCCATCATGCTGCAAAATATGCTCTACTGGACGGTGATGTAATTTCTTGTTATTTTGGACAGAGAGCTGTGGAACAACTGTTTTTGAGCTTACAGAAACTGCACAGCACCCCAAGGAGACCTGGACAAGCAGAAGTGCCCTAGCAGGACCAAGACAAGGGCAGTGATGGCTGAAGTCCGTCTATACTGTTCAGATACTGGCCTTCAGTGAGTGCTTTGCATTTCTTCAGGATGTTTCTCTCCAGCAGTAAGGTTAATTTTGTACAGGCCCTCTTACCTTCACATTATTTTCATGGTTGCACTATCAAAATAAAGTGGTGCTTTTTGGTGACATTATTGGTTGTCGCAGTGTTTTGATGGGAGGTTCATTATCATGCTATATTTTCAAACCAAGATGAATCTATGTCTGATGAACTTACACAGAATATGCAAGGGATGACACTATAACAAGTTTTTTTTTTGTTGTTGTTTTCTGACAACAACGTGGATATCAGCATGGAAAATCATGAAGCTGAATAACATTAGAAATTTAAAATTGAGTTGGGAAAGACCAGAAGACTGTAGCCTACTCTAAAGCAACAACAAAGGTATTAGTGGAACTGAAACCGTAAACTCTACTGTTGATTTTGTTTGTGTATAGATATTAAATCACACAAAATTACATAACAGTAGCAGTGTTATTTACAAAATTGTAGCCGCATTTGGAACAGATTTTTCACTTTAAGTAAATTGTTTAACAGAACAAACTGTCCCTGCAAGGCCACAAACATTACTATTGTAATGAATTTCTTATTGGATAAGCCATTGCATATAGATGACACACAACCACTGCAAGAGATAGTCTCTGGCTTTCTCTCAGTAACACACGGCAGGAAGAAGCTGAATAGCAGTCATAAATTTTCATACAGAAGCTTTCTTTCTAGAAAATACAGTCTACAACTTGCTAAAACTCTGAGATAATGGAATATAGTTAGTGGGCATCTTCAGACTCTAGGTTCAGTTAATATTTCTGCGACAGACTATTTCATAAGACCACAGCTGACTTTTGAAAAATTTGTCCTGCTACTGTAATTGAGGACCATTGAAACAAAATGGAACTTCTGCCATCACACTGCTGAATGTTTAAATCAGCACTGTCTACTGTTTAGCATCTCATCTGTACTGTCTGTGCACGACTTCTTTATTTGAAAAACTAATTTACCTTCCTCTACTCCAGAATCTGTCTGTCTGTCCATCTGTGTCTGCCTGTCTTTCCCTGCTTCCCCCTCCTACAGAGTTTAGGAGATCTTAAAAGACCTGTAAAAGTCTAAGTCCTCTCAAAGTTTCCACCTTTTTCAACTGAGATTGTGTAAAACTGAGTATCTAATACCCATGAGGGTCTAGCTGAACCCTGCAGGGCTAGGGACAGTCTTTACAGTGTTGTGTGTCACAAAGGCTCTTCAGTGGTGCTGCAAGACTCTTGCATGGATCTCTAAAAATAATTACAACAGTTGAGTAGTTACTTTCATTCTCTTCTTAAATGGTTGCTACTTGCTGTTGTAAAAAAAACTAACAATGATCTTTGATACTCATTTAACATTAATTGCATTACTAGAGGGACAATAACTCATCTATGAGAGAAATAAACATTGGGATACTTAAGTAATGGAGAGGATGTCTTCTTTTTCACCTTTCCAAAAATTCTTAGCAGGTTTGATAGGAAGAACTTAATTACTTTGAGGCATGATGTGACAATGAGTCACTGAATAGCAACCTCAGGAAACCCCAGGGGAGAATGATTCGGTAGCAACATAATTATGGTAACTGCATGGCAGAGACAGTTGTTTGTACCGGTGGTAAAAGTGCAAACCTGAAGAAAGGAGGAAGGCAAAAGTCAGGAAATAAATAGCAATAAATAATCAGTCCTTTAAAACAACTTTTACCAATGGAGCCAGGTTTGCTGTATTATTGGCATTTATTTTACATTCAGCCTTTCTGCTATGACATTTCTATTTATTTCACCTGGGATTTCAAATGTAGTTTTTTTCCTGCGTGGGGTCAGGCCAATATGTAAGCACATGTATGGAAAAGATGGAAAGACCACCTTAACTGACATCCTGATAAAAACCTTTGCAGTGTAACTGGAACAATGTTATGCAATATAATGTGT